CTTAACGCGAAGGCTGGACTCGAACCGCTGAAGCGTCGACCATTTCTGGCCGGCAACTTTCAGCGTCATTAAGCCGCTGCACCACCGCGTGCCCCAGTACTATGTATAGGCAGTTGAAAAAGACAATTTGGAGTTCTCTGCTCAGGTTTTTAGTGTATAGCAATATAGATCCATATTAAAAATGGCAAGAAAATTTTAAAAACTCTTAACAATAGCAACCTAATTTTCCAAGCTTTGTAGTTTGAAAGGTCTCTTTGGCAGTCTTAGTATAAACCTATATCCTGTCCTTTAAAACAGTAGATTGCCTAAAATAAGTTCTAACATCTGAAAGATTTTTCTGCCTGAATAATGATTCAATAAGATAGGAATTCTCAGAACATAAATTTTGGAATAGTTGTAACACAACGTTTCAAAGAAAGTGAGCGTTGTTTATCCCCTGAATCTTCAGTTAGAAAAGTAGCACATTAGGTAAGGCCTTGAGGAAACAGATAATGGATATTGGGAGGCTTTGAACAGCATTCAGTATTCTCAATGGAAGATTTCATGTCTTGGACTTTTAGTTTATCAGTACATTATTTGTTACTTTACTACTACTGGTTATCTGAAAACATAACTGAATTTGAAAGATGCTGACCATGAGATATACATTTTAACAGAGATAATCTCTACTACAATGAATTCTGTATAATAAAAGTATTTCTAATTCTTTAGGCCACTAGAGCAAATATAGACCTCATATGTGGTATAATTATCCCTATAAAAATTATTATTCTTATACTACTATAATACTTTATATTATTATATAATGTATATATTATATAACGTTGTATAATTATATTTATACTATTTTATTACAAAAAAATTAAAAGGTCATAATAAATTACTATTTTCCCAAAACTGTTCCATGGGAACATTATTTCCTATATTTACTCAGCCAGATAGACAGACAGACAGACAGACAGAGGTAGTCCTTGACTTATGACGGCATTTGGGACTGGAATTTCCATCACTAAGCAATGTGGTAAAGTGTGATGTCACATGACCGCATTGCTTAGCAACAGGAATCCTGGCAGTCCCAGTTGCTTTCATTAACCAAATCCCACGGTCGTTAGGTGAGGCATCTTCCTGCTGGCTTCCCACAACCAAGTCAGTGGGGAAGCTGGCAAGAAGTTGCAAGTCCTAGGTGGCTTGCAAGCAGACCGGCAGGCAGGTAAATGGCTGCTGCTAGGTGGGGGAGGGCACAAGGGGGTGCACAAAGGTGCGAAGCGTGGCGAGGGTTAGAGATGGTATGCAAGGGTGGGAGGGAGGCTTGAGGAGAGTGTGTGGAGGTGCACAAGGGTGCAAGGGAGGTGCAGCAAGGGTGCATGAAGGTGTGAGGAAGGTGTGGCGAGGGTTGGGGAAGATGCAGGGGTGCGCAAGGGAGACATGGCAAGGGTTAAGGAGATGCACGGGGGTGTATGAGTGGCTGGCGTGAGCACAGAGGGGCTGAGGGAGGGTGTATGGGTAGGGGAGACTTACCTCAGCAACTTGCAACCTTCCCTGCCGGTTTCCCCATTGTCTTTCTGGGGAAGCTGGCACAAAAGGTCGCAAATGGTGATTTCATGATTGTGGGGCACTGCAACTGGTCGTAAGTGCGAGCCAGTAACCAAGCGCCCAGATTACAATCACACGATCATGGGGGTGCTTGAACGGCCAGAACTCCAAAGACCAGTCATAACCACTATTTGTTCAGTGCCATTGTAAGTTTGAACAGTCACTGAATAAATGGTTGTAAGTTGAGGACTACTTGTATTTATTCCAGCAAATCTTCCCTCTAGGTATTCTGTAAATGTGGTTTGGAATCCAAACCAGTTAATTATGTTATCACAATAACATTTTTCAGTATTAAATAAACTAACATTTGAAAATTATTTAGGCTTTGATGAGAAACTTCCCATATGCAATGAAATATTTTCAGCAGTGAACAATTCATGGCCTGTAGATCAGATATGGCCCTTCCAGGGCTTGTTGCATAGCTGAAATTCAACAGCAAATGTCCAGTGAATGTGGGAATGGCGTCTGGAAAGCAAACTGCTCCCATTCTCATACTTACCCCCACCCAGCACCCATCTCCACACACAATATTGACTGAAAAATGAGTCAGTACTGTTCCATCTAAATTTGACAATTTGCTGTTGAATTTCACCAAAGCAATTATTTAGCTTTTTTTTACAATTTTAGGGAAGATTAAAAATAGGGAGCATTTTGCCTCTCAGAGCGCTCCCACCATTCAGTTAATTAAGTACCATCAAGGCAGGGTGACCTGTGGTGACTGTAGGGGCCCATGTTTGGCATCTTGATCTTGTCTTTAGCAACTTGTAACTCTTCCAGAGACATTCCAGTAATCTTTTTGATCCTCTCCATCCACTGGTAAACCACTTCTGAAATCTTGCCAAGAAAACTGCAGGGATTAGTCCAGGCAGTTGGCAAAAGTTAATACTGACTTGAAGGTACAAAAAAACACAATGTCCTCAGGAAGTTATTCAGTCGTCTTTTAAATTCATCTTTAGCAGATTGATTTGCCACAGTGGATTTAATTTTTTTTAACATATATTTGAATGCTGTTGAATTAAAATCATGTTTTATTGTATGAAGTTTTTATCAAGTTATTTTTAAAATGTTACATTTAGTTTATCCCTACAAGTATAATTCACTCTATGCAAGCATCAGAAAGGAATAACCAGGATAAGCATGGTTTACAGAATGGTTTGAAAGCAACAAACTATGACGCAACAAAAAATTTTGTGATGGAAAACAAGCTAACTGTGATGCCTTCCAGTCTAAAGGTAAACATTCTGTGAATACTGTAACTGTATTTCAGTTACTTTTATCCATACAGTACATAGTTTGGGAATGAGAAAGGAAAACAGGTTGGGATTTACTGTGCTTAATATGGAACAGGGGAGTTTTATTTTCAGCTGAAATCTCAAAACAAGTAGTCTCTGATTCATGTAGTATTTAGAGTCAGGAATGTATAAAAAAGCCAAGGTGAATTCTCTTTATCACATGAATATTTTGAGTCTTCTGATTATAAGGAAAAATACAAATTTGGGATTAGCTGCTGCTCTATTTTTTTCACTCCAGAGACCTATGTTGGATGCTATCTACCACCTAAAATACAGACAATTTGGCAGAAGGGATGGTTTTTAAATATTTTTGAACACATAATCCTCAAAACATTGAAACAGATCAGTTTTGTTTTAATCCACCTGCATTCTTGAGGAGTAACTCCCAGTTACTGAAAGAAAATTCCACAATAAGTCCAAACTTCCTTCTGATAAGAATGATACAAAAGTTTAGGTCTTAGCACTCACCCAGAGTTAGTACAACTCTGAATATTAGCAAAGCATGAATATAGGTTTACTGCCCCTTAAGAACAAAACATTCAGCTCATTAGTACTGTTGGATCCAGCCCTTATTTTGTATGCCTAGGTGACCTCTGAGATACAAAGGACTTTTTACTTATTAAGCTAAAGGACCACTCAGTGACCTTTTGAAGTTACAATGGTACTGAGTGGTACTTATGACTGAAGTTCCGGCCATCCCAGCATTCCCATGGTCACATGATCGCAATCCAGGCGCTTGGCAACTGGCTTGCACTTAAGATTGCAGTGTCCCACATCACGTGATCACCATTTGCAACCTTCCCTGCCAGCTTCCCCATTGACTTTGCTTGTGGGAAGCTGGCAGGGA